AAAGATGAATATATATATATAGATAGGTCGCATAGATCGATATATATATTAATATATATTATAGGATGGATAGATAGACAGCAGATAGCATAGATAGATAGACAGATAAAGATAGAGTTAATAGATAGGTAGATAGATAGATTGGCAAGATAGATAGATAGATAGATAGAAGTAGATAATTGATAGATAGATAGATAGATAGAGCAGATAGATAGATAGATAGATAGATAGATAGATAAGATAGAGTAGATTAGTGATAGATAGATAGATAGCATAGATATAGATACATAGATAAATAGATAGATAAAAAGATAGATAGATAGATTCAGATAGAGAGATAGATAAATAGATAGATGAGATAGATAGATAGATAGATAGATAGATAGATAGATAGAAGATGATAGAATATAGATAGATAGATAGATAGATAGATAGATAAATAGATAGATAGATAGATAGATAGATAGATAGATAGATAGATAGATAGATAGATAGATGATAGATAGACATAGAGACAGAGAGAGATAGAGAGAGAGAGAACAGAGAAGGGAGAGGGAGGCAGAAGTAGAGAGAGATAGAGGGGGAGAGAAGAATGGGAGAGAGAAAGAGCGATAGAGAGAGAGGAGACGGGGGAGAGAGCAGAGACGAAGATGAAGGAAGTAACGTGCCTCCCAGGGGATTACCCTGCAATCTTAACGTCTGTATATTTTTCAGAGTCCATCGTCCGATTTATGACTATATGGCACGCGTACGCTCTCCATCGCTCTCTATACAAACACGTCGCTATCAACTAACGGCTCAGCGCAGCGCGTAATACGCCCGCTCTCCGTGTTTATCCGGCTGAACTCGCGAGTTTCTCTGCCTCCGATGGTAATCACGCGGCTTCTTCCCAGCGTGCCAGACAGGCCGGATATTCTCCTCCCGCTTTTCTCTAGCTCCCCCCTCGCGGCTCTTCCCCTTCCGCTTCTCCCCTCCCGCTTCTCCCTCTCGCGGCGCCCTCCCTCCCGCTTCTCCCTTCCGCTGCCTCCGCCCATTTCTTCTTCTAGCTCTCCTCTCCCGCTGCCTTCCTCTCCGCTTTCCCTCTCGCTTCTCCCTCCGCTTCTCCCCTCCCCGCTTCTCCCTCCCGCTTCTCCCCTCCGCTTCTCCCCTCCCGCTTCTCCCCTCCCGCTTCTCCCCTCCCGCTTCTCCCCTCCCGCTTCTCCCCTCCCCCGCTTCTCCCCGCTCTCTTCTCCCCTCCCGCTGCCCTCCCCCCGCTTCTCCAAGCTTTAGTGGCGAGCGCGCAGTGAAGCCATACATGTTACGTGTGTGTGTGTGTGTGTGTGTGTGTGTGTGTGTGTGTGTGTGTGTGTGTGTGTGTGTGTGTGTGTGTGTGTGTGTGTGTGTGTGTGACGCTTGCGGCGAAGCTGCTGCTACCGCTGTGTTTGAAAAGGGCCGCCGCGAGCTGTTGGTTGAGTAGGTTTACTCTACATCCTTCCGCGCGTCGATGCCAATAATCGTCTGCAGGCGGCATCACAGAGGAGAGCGAAGTGGATCAAAAACATACGTAAAAATATCAATAAACTAGAAGTCCCCCCCTCTCCCCCATCCTCCCCCGCTTCTCGTTTAGCGGTCGTAATAATGGCTGGCGATAAAAAAGGGGATGTTTAATCGATATTTTTGCATTATAACGTTATATTACATATATACTATATTCAAGCAACGGAAATACTGGCTGCCGATAAAAAGGGATGTTTAATTGATGTTTTTACATTAAAGCGTTATATTACATACTATATTAAAACGTTGCTGGTAGTTTGAGAGATGTTCCCCGGTTGCAAGTGGATCGCATGCAGTGAGGGTACATGACCGCGCTGAATGAGAAAATCCATAACCCTATATAGCCTTAACATCAACCCAAACCCTAACTATATTCCTAACCCTAGCCGTAATCCTACCCATAGCCTTAACATTAACCCTAATTATAATCCTAACCCTAATCCTAACCCTAATCCTACCCATATATAGCCTTAACATCAACCCAAACCCTAACTATATTCCTAACCCTAACCCTACCCATAGCCTTAACATTAACCCTAACTATAATCCTAACCCTAACCCTAACCATAATCCTACCCATAGCATTATCATTAACCCTAACTATAATTCTAACCCTAACCATAACCCTAATTCTATCCATAGCCTTAACATCAACCCTATATCCCTAACCCTAAACCTAAACTTAATCCTAACGCTAACCCTATTGCTAACCCTAATCCTGACTTGAATCCTTTAATCCTGACTTCAATACTAACCATTACCTAACCCTAGCCATAATCCTAACACTCATCTTAACCATAACTCCAAACCTCACCATAACACTAACCATGACCCTCAGCTCAATCCCAAGCCCATTTTGTTTGTATGCATGAGGCTGTTTTTAGAAAGCAGAATCACTTGGTCCTAAGCGATATTCCATGATGTATGTAAAACTTGTGTCTATACAGTCACCGTATGAAACTTCAAGCTAATGCAATTGACGACCATAATTATGTACTCGACTTGAAATACGCGCAGATGAGAGAAAGGAA